TCTCTCTCTCTCTAAAAATCAATAAATAAAAATTTTAAAAATGATTATACACCATGATCAAGTGGGATTTATTTCTGGGATGCAAGGGTGGAACAATATCTGCAAATCAATTAATGTAATATACCACATTAATAAAATGAAATATAAAAGCCATATGATCATATCAATAGATGCACAAAAAGCATTTGAAAAAATTTAGCACCCATTCATGATAAAAACTCTCAGCAAAGTGGGAATAGAAGAAACATACCTCAATGTAAGAAAGGCTATATATGACAAACTTATATCTCACATACACAATGGGGAAAAACTAAAAGCATTTTCCTTAAAATCAAAAAAAAAGACAGGGGTGTCCACTTTCACCACTTTTAGTCAACATAGTACTGGAAGTCCTAGCAACAGCAACAATGAAGGAAGAATTAAAAGGCATCCAAATAGAAAAGGAAAAAGTAAAACTATCATTATTTGCAGAATGGCATGATAGTATATCCAGAGACTCTTAAAGACTCCACCAAAACATTACTAGCACTGATAAATGAATAAAGTAGTGGAATAAAAAATTAATATTCAAACTAAACTGCATTTTTACTATTTTATTTTTTATATTTTTTAAAGATTTTATTTAATTATTTCTAGAGGGGAAGGGACGGAGAAAGAGAGGGAGAGAAACATCAATGTGTAGTTGTGTCTCTTGCACCCCCTACTGGGGACCTGGCCTGAAACCCAGATATTTGCCAGGACAGGGAGGTGAATGAGTGATCCTTTTACTTACAGGCTGGCACTCAATCCACTGAACCACACCAGCCAGAGCTAAGTTGCATTTTTATACACCAATAATGAACTATGAGAAAGAGAAACTAGAAAAACAATACCATTTACAATTGCATCAAAATTAATAAATAAAATACCTAGGAATAAATTTAAGCAAAGAGGTAAAAGACCTATACTCAGAAAATTATGAGATTGAAGAAAGAAACTGAAGAAGATACAAATAATTGGAAGCACAGTCCCTGTTCATGGATAGGAAGAATTAATATCATAAATTGTTTATACCACCCAAAGCAATCTATAGATTCAGTTCAGTCCCTATCAATATATCACCTTTCTGCTTTCAAAGAAATAGAACTAAAATAAATAACATAAATATTTATATGGAATCACAATCTTGAGAAAGAAGAAAGATGTTGTATCGTGCTACCTGATATCAAACTATACTACTAGCCTATAGTAATCTAAACAACATGATACTAGAATAAAAGCAGACACATAGATTAATGTTAAAGAATAGAGGACACAAAAATAAACCCTATATGGTCAATTAATATATGAGAAAGGAAACAAAAACACACAATGGGGTAAAGGCAACCTATTCAATAAATTGTGTTGATAAAACTGGACAGATACCTGTAAAATAAATGAAACTAAACTGCTTTTTATACCATATACAGAATAAACTCAAAATGGATTAAAGACTTAGTGTAAAATTTGAAACCATAAAATTCCTAGGAGTAAACATAGGAAATAAACTCTGACACTTTTCTCAGCAATATTCTTTTCTGATATATATCCATGGGCAAGGGAAATAAAAAAAAAAAAAAAATAAACAAATGGGGCTACATCAAATTAAAAAGGTTTGCACAACAAATGAAACCATCAAAAAAACAAATGAGAGAAGATATTGGCAAGGATACATATGATAAGGGGTTAATATCTAAAATTAATACAGAACTCATGTAAGTCAACATCAAAAACACCAAACAATCCAATTTAAAAATAGGCACAGGACCTGAAAAGACACTTCTCCAAAGAGGGCATACAGATGACCAACAGACAAAAGAAAACATGCTCATAATCACCAATCATCAGAGAATGCAAATTTAAAAAAAACATAGTGAGTTATCACCTCACATCTGTCATAAAGGCTATCATCAATAAATTAACAATCAACAAGTGTTGGCGAGGATGTGGAGAACCCTGGTGCACTGTTGGTGGAAATGCAAATTGGTATAGCCACTATGGAAACTGCACTGAAATTTCTCAAAAAATTAAAAATGGAATTGCATTATGATTCAGTGTTTACAATTTTGGGTATAGATATGAAGAAAACAAAAAACTAAATTGAAAAAATATATGCACCCTTATGTTCATTGCAGCATTATTTACAATAGCCAAAATATGGAAGCAACCCAAGTGCCCATCAGTAGACAAGTAAATAAAAAAGCAGTGGTACCTATATACAATTGAATATTACTTGACCATAAAAATGAGTGAAATTCTATCATTTGCAACAGTATGGACAGAGCGAGAGGCTATTATGCTAAGTGAAATAAGTTAGTCAAACAAAGACACATATCATATGATTTCACTTAAAGGAGGAATCTAAAAAACTAAATAAATGAACAAACAGAACAGAAACAGACACATAGAGAGAACAAACTGATGGTTGCCAGAGAGGTTGGAGCTTGAGCAACTGGGTGAAAAAGGTGAAGAGATTAAGAAGTGCAAATTGATAGTCATGGGAATCTAAAGTACAGAATAGAAAACATAGTCAATAATATTGTAATAATAAGTCTGGTGACATGTGGGTACTTAAAATATCAGGGGAATCACTCTGTAAATTACATGATTGTCTAACCACTGTGCAATACAGCAGAAACTAATATAGAATAATACTAAATGTCAATTATAATTGGAAAATAACATTTAATCCCCCAAAATAAAATTTGATTTCAAAATTAGTTGTATTTTTATCTTAACAATTGACTCAAGCTTAATTTAAAATTGTTAAATTATCATGTATTTTTTGCAGAAACATATTTCAACAAAGTTAGCTCTGTAACAAATTTTATAGAGTTTGGGTATATTAAAAAATTATATAAAAATTGGGTGTATTCAACTTAAAACTTTGGGCCCAGAGGTGTCATAAAAATTGAAGACAGTAACCACATACATGTGTTAAAATTAATTAACTAAATCTAGATGAACTATTGTATTAATATAAGCCACAAAATCAATATTGAATGCAAAAAAAAGCCACTTTAGATCAGGAAAATATGACATGCTTTTTATGTAAATTATAAAAAGTATACACAAAATATTATATACTATTTACAGATACATATATGTAACATAAGAATAAAAACAGAAAAAAGTTTGCACACGAATCTCACCCTTAATTGACTCAGGGTGAGAGAAAGAGAATGGAGAAATGTTCAAGGGAACTATAATGGGAATGTCTGTAATGGTTAAATTCTTTAACATATCTGGATACTGGCAAATAGGCTTTAAGATAACAATTATGAAAAAATTTTTAAATCATTATCAAAATGTGGTCATTATGTGTGAAATTGTGTTTAAAAACATAATTGTTTAATGCCATTGAAGAGTGAACTAAACTAGGCAGAAATTGAAGATCCAGTGTTAAAGAGAGAAACTAAGTGGAGTGAGATTTTTTAAAAAATATTTCCTTTATTTATTTTTAGAGAGAGGGGGAGAGAGAGAGAAATCAATGTGTAAGAGAAATATCAGTTGGATGCCTCTTGCATGCCCCCAGCTGGGGACTGAATCCACAGTCCAGACATATGCCCTGACTGGTGCCTTTTTGGGTTTGCGAGATGACACTGAACTCACTGAACCAGTCAGGTATGGAATAAGATATTGAGTATTTATGTGTATTTGGCTTTTTACCTAATGGAATAAAGAAATATATAAAAATAATTTCAACAATAATGTTTAATGTCTCATGTTTCAAAAAGTATCCAGGTGATAGAATAATAGATTTCAAGGTAGCAATTACAAAATCTGGACAAAATATTGGAAAACAACAATAACAATGATCTCAAGGCCCTGGAGAACAAATGAATGTGAGCACAGGCAGAAGTGGATCAAAGCCAAGAGAGAGAACCGCAAGCACTGAGATTTGCACACATGTAGCTGCGGGAAATCCCTAGGCCATGTGGTGTTGGGAGCAGAAACTCACAGTCTCACTGGCTTGACAAGTCAGAGGACAGGCCGAGCATCTGGAAAGTGATGGGGCAAATCTAAGGGGCTGCTGATGTTCTGTTTCTTGACATTTGAAGTGGTTACACAGATATTTGCTTTAGAAAAGTTATTGAGCTACATACGTATATTTTATGCAGTTTTCTGTATGTGCACTGACTTCAATAAAAATGTTAAAATGTGTTTTTGAAAAATATCTCCTAGCTCAGTTCTACTGAGATTTTCTATGGAAGAAAAGAGAAGAGGAGAGGAGAGGAGGGGAGGGGAGGGGAGGGGAGGAGAGGGGAGGAAAGGAGAGGAGAGGAGAAGAAGAGAAAATAGGTATCTCTATTGGAGAACAAGAATATCTATAAAAATGGCCATATACTGGGCAAATTGTGAGACAAGATGACATCCTGATCATCTGGAGAAGCATTAATTAGTAAGAGGGCTTTGTTTATTCACTCAACAGGTATTTCCAAAGTCTATAGTACATTTTATTCCCTTTTTATAGAAAGTATCTTTATTTAAAGAACCCTATACTGATATGAACTATAAAAAAAAACAACAACAACAACAACTCTGTGTGTTCAATTCCTTAGAAGACACTGTTGAGATGCTTTACCAAATTACCAACTCTAGGGAATCTGGAGAGATTCTCTAGCTATATAAGGGATGGGTCTCTGTCAATGAACCAGACCCAGAAGAAGGATGGCATATATTTGGCTCTTTGAAGGGTCATGAAGAACTCAATGACTCTCTACAGCTAATATAAAAAACAGAATTTTTTTACCAGTCTTAATTTACCATTGTTTTTGTGGGGCCAAGCCTTTTTCTTTGTTTAAAGATTTGCCCTACCACAATCCAAGTCTGCCTCTGAAGGAAGCACAGAACATTAATATGAAAAAAAACTCTTGCTACAGCAAATCACAGACTATTTAATTATGTAATCCTGGTTAAGCTCAAATTTCCACCATAACACATGTGATTCATACTCAGGAATGTGTAGAGCACCAGCTCACCTGCAAAAGGGGTTCCTTTTCCTTTAGGTGTGCTTGCATGAGAAGGCGTGGTTAGCCTGGGAACAGCTGTACTCCGTGTTGCTGAAATAGGAGCAGAGGGCAGTCTTTGTGTTGTGTGGAGACTCTTAGTCACTGGAGCATGTGCAGCAGTGAACTTTTGTGTTCCTGGAAGACTCCGTGTAAATGAAGCTTTTGCTGTTGTGAGTCTTTGGGTTTTGGGGGTAGCTTGTGTAACAGAAGAATTTGCCGTGATGGGAGTCTGGGCTGCTGGAGGGGTCTCTGTAGACAGAGCATTTGATACAGGGGTTATTTTGGCTATTGTGACTGAATCATTTGCTGTGATGGGTTTTTGAGGAGATGATGGGGTTTCCATAACTGAAATATTTGAGGTGGGTTTCTGAGGATTATTTGGAACATGTAAGGTGGATTTATGAGAAATTAGTAGGGTCTTTGTAGCTGAAGAATTTATTTTAGTGGGTTTTTGAGGAGTTGATGTGGCTTCCGTAGCTGCAACATTTGCAGTGATAGGTTTCTGAGGAGATGAGGGGAATTCTATAGCTGGAATATTGAATGTGGATTTCTGAGGAGTCAATGGGGCTTCTGTAGCTGAAAAGTTTACTGTGGTGAGTTCCTGAGGAGTTGATGCGACTTCTGCAGCTGGAACAATTACTGTGGTGTGTTTCTGAGGAGTTGATGGAGTTTTAGTACCTGGAACATCCACTGTGGTGGGTTTCTGAGGAGTTGATGGGGCTTTGGTACCTGAAACATCTACTGTGGTGGGTTTCTGAGGAGCTGGTGTGACCTTAGAAATTGGAGGACTTCCTGTGGAGGAAAAATGTCATTCACATATTAGTTAAATAATGCTGTTAAAATTTAGAAACCAATTGATTACTTGATGACTCTTCTCTCCCCAGACCCAAACACCTAAATATGACATTTAGGAAACCAAGTCTTGTTGTGCATTTCCCAAGGAACTGAACTGCTATGCTGATTTTACTTCAATATAAACTATACCTACAGGCAACTAAATGCACCAAGTAGTACTGAGAAGATTAAACTGCTTTCTGTGTGAAGAAGGAAAGCCAAAATCAGAGTTGGCAGTGATCTCATTCTGTGACACAGCCCAAATAAAGATATTTTCCCTCAGAAAGTGTCTTCCTTTGCTCATGCCAAGACCAAAGAACAGCAGGATGCAAACACTGGACAACAGAGATAATCACAACAGAGATCGCCCAGAGTTTCTGTTCCCATAGCTTTCAGGATATGTTAGTGACCTTGGAAACTTATTTCACTTCTTTTTTAAAGTAATAAAGTCAGTCAGAATGAAATTATTCCCTTTATCTCCTCTTGTGCTGTTTACCAACTTTACAAACATTAGTTTAGTTCCTTTTGGATTTAGGTGAGCCAACAAATGCCTAAAGTGCAACTTCAGTTAAGATCTTATTCTGAGAATCATAAGTAAGGGCCTGGTACGGTGACTTGGGTTGCCTAGACCACCTCCCTCTCACAGCAGTTCTGAGTAGTACTTGGGCGTGTTCTACCACATCCTAGAGACCAAGGTTTCTAATCCCTCTGAACTTTGGTTTTCTCACCTATAAAGTGAGTGGCCCTCCTCTGGCTGTCTTTCTCTACTACTTGGGTATTTGCAGAGCTGAAGCAATGTGCTCATTGAGAGCACCTCCCCCACCCCATTTTAAATCCTGTTTCAGGGACTGGCATTCAGAATTTCCTGTGCCAATACCCCTTTCAAGGCCTTAGAGGGGCTTTCCTCCTGGTCTACACTCTTTTTCCTCCCCTCCCCTCCCCACTCTCTCCCTCCCTCTCCCTCTCTTTCTTTCCTTCTTCTTTCTCTCCCTCTCTCTCTCTTTCTTTCCCCTCTTTTTTCTTTTCTTTCTTTTTTTTAAAGATTTTATTTACTTATTTTTAGAGAGGGAAGGGAGGGAGATAGATAGATAGAGAGAGAGAGAAACATCAATGTGCGGTTGCTGGGGGTTATGCCCTGCAACCCAGGCATGTACCCGGGCTGGGAATCGAACCTGGGACACTTTGGCTCCCAGCCCGCGCTCAATCCACTGAGCTACGCCAGCCAGGGCTTATTTCTTTTTTTTTTTTAATTTATATTTTAGAGATATGGAGAGGGAGAAAGAGAGGGAGAGAATTATCAATCAGTTGCCTCTTGCACACCCCCAACTAGGGACCTGGCCCACAACCCAGGCATGTGCCTTGACCAGGAATTGAACCAGTGAACTGGTAACCTTTCAGTTCACAGGCTGGTGCTCAACCCTACCAGCCAAGGCCACTCTCCCTTTTTTAAAATTATGTAATGCTTCATAAATTTGCATGTCAACTTTATTCAAGGGACATGCTAATTTTCTCTGTATTGTTCTAGTTTTAGTATATGTGCTGCTGAAAGGAGCACATGGTATATATACTTGAGGATGGTCTATACCGTTGATGTGCATTCCTCTGCCCACAGTTCAGTGGAATGGGGATAAGGGTCATAGGGCACTTGAGTGTGTAGACTGAGTTGTCCATTTACAGGCACCAGAGGCCCCTCATTGAAAGAAGGGGGCAACTATTCAAGAAAGGCTGGGTCTTAGACCAAAGACTTTCATATCTATTCTACTTAACTATTGGAAGAAATGACAAGATAGTAAATGACCAAATGCAATGCAAATTTTAGATTGTTTTTAATCCTTTATCTCCAAAGCTAATAAATTAAGGAACATTACAAACAAAAGATTTTACATAAGCTAAGACTTATATTAGAAGATGAGTTTAGCACAAATATTCAGTGTGAATAATTAATTTTTTTATTTTTTATTTTTTTTTTAATTTTTGTTATTGTTACTCAAGTACAATTGTCTCAACTTTTCTACCACCACTGTCCCTTGTCAGACCTACCCCCACCTCCCACCCTCAAACCTTTCCCCCTTTGGTTTTGCCCATGGATCCTTTATACATATTCCTTGACCTCCCTTCCTCTTCCAGCCCCCGTTATCCCCCTTCTCCCTTCCCTCTGGTTACTGTCAGTTTGTTCTTTATTTCAGTGTCTCTCGTTATATTTTGCTTCTTTGTTTGTTTTGTTAATTAGGTGCCACTTATAGGTGAGCTCATATGGAATGGAATAGTATGCATCAGGAAGAAAGAAGGAGTCCCTACCCTTTTTGAGAGCCTGGATGGAACTGGAGACCATTATGCTAAATGAAATAAGCCAGGTGGTGAAAGACAAACACCATATGATCACTGTGAATAATTCTTAATGCACAGAAAGTAATTTGTCATTGATTATTCAACCTGAAAACATGAATGTTTCGACTCTCAGTCTTACCTTTGCACTCTGGAAATGGATCACCCCAGTCAACATTATCTCCCCTAACAAGACAGTAAGTAGAAGTTACACCAACTAATTTGTACCTAAACAATGAAGGGAGAAAAAAAGTTGAGTTCTTTTAAATTCTCCAGAATGTCATCTTAAAATATTTACTATACCAGTAGTTGGAGACAAAACAACATTTATAAAAGTTTGTATGGCAGTTTAAAGAAACAGAAAACAATTTTAAAAGGTGATCCAAAGTATAAAAAAGTGTAAGATATGCAAGACATTTCTTATTTGGGAGGAGTAAATGTTAAAAAAACAAAGCATTTTAAATCATTTTATTTATTTATTTTTTTAATTGTTGTTCAAGTCCAGTTGTCTCCATTTTCCCACTACCACTTTCTTATGCCCCCACCCACTCCCATCTCCCACCCTCAATCCTATGTCCCTTCGGCTTTGTCCATGGGTCCTTTATACATGTTCCTTGATGACCCTTCTCCTTCTTTCCCCCATTATCTCTCTCCCACCTCCCCTCTGGTTACTGTCAGTTTGTTCTTTATTTCAATGTCTCTCATTATATTTTTATTGCTTGTTTGTTTTGTTGATTAGGTTCCACTCATAGGTGAGAGCATATGGTGTTTGTCTTTCACCACCTGGCTTATTTCACTTGGTATAATGCTCTCCGGTTCCACCCATGCTGTCATGAAGGGTAGGGGTTCCTTCTTTCTTTCTGATGCATAGTATTCCATTGTGTTAAAGTACATTGTTTTTTGATCCACTCATTGACTGATGGGCACTTAGGTTGCTTCTAGCACTTGGCTGTTATAAATTGCAGTGCTATGAACATTGGGGTGCATAGGTTCTTTTGAATTGATGTTTCAGGATTCTTAGGGTATAGTCCCAACAGTGGAATCATCAGGTCAAAAGGTAGTTCCATTTTTAGTTTTTCAAGGAAATTCCATACTGTTTTCCACAGTGCTTGCACCAGTTTGCATTCCCAACAACAGTGTCCTAGAGTTCCCTTTTCTCTGCAACCTCACCAGCACTTGTTTGTTGATTTGTTTATGATGACCATTCTGACTGGTGTGAAGTAGTATCTCATTGTGGTTTTAATTTTCATCTCTTTGATGACTAACAATGCTGAGTGTCCTTTCATATGTCTCTAGGCCCTTTGTATGTCTTCTGTGGAGAAGTATCTGTTCAAATCCTTTGCCCATTTATTAATTGGGTTGTTTGTCTTCATGGAGTGGAGTTGTGTGAGTTTTGTATATATTTTGGAGATCAAACCCTTGTTCCAGGTATCTCTGGCAAATGTATTTTCCCATACAGTTGGTTCCTTTTTCATATTGCTGATGTTTTCTTTATCTGTGCTGAAGCTTTTTATTTTGATGAAGTCCCATTTATTTCTTCTTTCCTTTAAGTCCCTTCCTCTAGGGGACATATTAGTGAAAATATTGCTGTGTGGAATATCTGAGATTTTCCTGTCTATGTTCTCCTCTAGGACTTTTATTGTCTTATAACTTATATTTAAGACTTTTATCCATCTTGAGTTTATTTTTGTGTATGGTGTAAGTTAGTGATCAAGTTTTATTTTTTACATATCTCCCAACACCATTCATTAAAGAGGCTATTTTGACTCCATTTTATGCTTCTGCCCCCTTCGGCAAATATTAATTGACTGTAGAGACTTGGGTTTATTTCTGGGCTCTCTGTTCTGTTCCATTGGTCTATGTGCCCGTTTTAATGCCAGTACCAGACTGTTTTTATTACAGTGGCTTTGTAATATAGTTTGATGTCAGGTATTGTGATTTCACCTACTTTGTTGTTCTTTCTCAAAATGGTTGTGGCTATCAGGGTAGTTTATGGTTCCTTATAAATATTTGAAATGTTTGTTCTATATCTGTGAAATATGTCATTGTTATTCTAATAGGGATTGCACTGAATCTTTAAATTGCTTTGGGTAGTATGGAGATTATGATGATGTCAATTCTTCCTATCCATGAGCATGGTATATGCTTCCACTGATTTCTGCCTTCCTTAATTTCTTTCTTTAGTGTTGTGTAGTTTCCTAAGTACAGGTCTTTGATCTCCTTGGTTAGGTTTATTCCCAGGTACTTTATTTCTCTTGTTGGTATAGCATATGCAATTTTTTTCTTGGTTTCTGTTTCTGGTATTTCATTGTTGGTGTATAAAAATGCCTTCTATTTCCAAATATTCACTTTGTATACCACTGTTTTACCAAATTCACTTTTTAGGTCAAGTAGTTTTTTGGTGTAGTCTATAGGATTTTCTATGTACACTATCATGTCATCTGCAAACAATGACAGTTTTGTTTCCTCTTTTCTAATTTGGATGCCTTTTATTTCTTATTCTCATCTGATTGCTGTGGCTAGGATATGTTGAATAGAAGCGGTGAAAGAGGCATTGTCTTGTTCTTGATCTTGGGAAAGCTTTTAATTTTTGGCCATTGAAGATGATGTTGACTGTAAGTTTTTTCATATATGGCCTTTAGTATGTTGACGTTAGTCCCCTCTACTCCCACTTTACTGAACATTTTTATCATAAATGAATGCTCTACCTTATCAAATGCTTTTTCTGCATCTATTTATTGGATTATGTGATCTTTGTCTTTCCTTTTGTTTATGTGTTGTATTATGTTTATTGATTTCTGAATATTGTACCATCCTTTCGTCCCTGGAATGAATCCAACTTGATCATGGTATATGATCTTTTTAATGCATTGTTGGATGCAGTTTGTCAATATTTTGTTGAGAATTTTAGCATCTATGTCCATCAGCAATATTGGCCCATAGTTTTCTTTCTTTCTTGTGTCTTTATCTGGTTTTGGGATTAGGATGATGCTGGCCTTATAAAAAGAGTGTGGGAGTCTTCCTTCTTGGATTTTTTGGAATAGTCTGAGGATAGGAATTAGCTCACCCTTAAATGTTTTGTAAAATTCTGCTGTGAAACTGTTTAGTCTAGGATTTTTGTGTACCAGGAATTTTTTTATTACTGCTTCAGTTTCGCCAGCTGTTATCAGTCTGTTCAGGCTTTCTGCTTCTTCTTCATTCAGTTTTGGAAATTATATTTTTCTAGAAATTTGTCCATTTCACACCAACTTCTTGGCATATAGTTGTTCATAATAATTTCTTACAATACTTTGTATTTCTGTGGTCTCAGTTGTAATTTATCCTTTTTCACTTTGATTTCATTCATTTGGGACCTCTCCCTTTTTTTCTTGATGAGTCTGGTTAAAGAACTGTCCATTTTTGTTTATCTTTTCAAAGAATAGGCACCTGGGTTTATTGATCTTTTGAATTGTTCTTTTAGTATCTAAGTCATTGATTCTGCTCTGATCTTGATTATTTCATTCCTTCTATTCACTCAGTTCTTATAGGTGTAAGGTTAGGTTGTTTGTTTGAAAATGTTTCTATATTTTATAAGTAGACCTGTATCACTATGAACTTCCTTCTCAGGACTGCCTTCACTGTGTCCCATAGGTTTTGGAATGTTGTGTGTTCATTTCATTTGTTTCCAGAAACTCTTTGATTTCTTCCTCAATCTCATTCTTACTCCATTTATTGTTCAATAGTATGGTATTCAATCTCTATGAGTTTAAATGTTTTTGAGTTTTTTCCTTGAGGTTGGTTTCTAGTTTCAAGCCCTTGTAGTTGGAGAAAATGCTTGATATGATTTCAATTTTGTTGAATTTGTTGAGGCTTGTTTTGTGTCCTATCATGTGGTCTATCTTTGAAAATGTTCCGTGTGCCTTTGAAAAAAATTTGTATTTTGTTTTTTTGGGGATGAAAACTTCTAAGTATATCAGTTAACTACATTGATCTAATGTATCATTCAGTTCCACAATATCCTTGAGATTTTGTTTGAAAGATCTATCCGTTATTGACAGTGTTGTGTTAAATTCTCCTACTATAATTGTGTTGCTGTCTATATCTTTCTTGAAGTCCTCCAAGACTTTTCTTATATATTTGGGTTATCCTATGTTGAGTGCATATATGAATTCTTCCCTTGAGTATTATGAAGTGTCCTTGTGTGTCTCTTTTTTTATAGCCTTTGTTTTAAAGTCTATTTTTTTCTGATATAAGTATTGCTACCGTGGCTTTCTTTTTCCTATCCATTCTCTTCGAATATTTTTTCCCAATCCTTCACTTTTAGTCTGTGGAGGGTTTTTTGTTCTGAGATGGATCTCTTGTAGGAAGCATATATATGGGTCATGTTTTCTTATCCATTCAGCTACCCTATGTCTTTTGATGGGAGCATTTAATCCATTTACATTTAAGGTTAGTATTGTTATTTATAACAATAAAAATTGTAAGGTTATTATATTATTTAAGGCTATTTTCCCCCTTTGTACCTGTGTTCCCCTCTCTCTCACTCTTTTTCTTCATCTATTTAAAGCATTCCTGTAGCATATCTTGCACTACTGGTTTGGTGGAGGTGTATTATTTTAGCCTTCTTTTTTCTAGGAAATTCCTTATTTCATTTTCCATTTTACTTAAGAGCCTTGTTGGGTAGAGTCATCCTGGCTGCAGGCCTTTACTTTTCACTAATTGGAATATTTCTTGGCATTCCCTTCTGGCTTGTAGTGTTCCTGCTGAGAAGTCAGCTGCTAGTCTTATTAGGGCTCTCTTATATGTTACTTTCTGTATTTCCCTTGCTGCCTTTAAGATTCTCTTTTTGTTTTTGAATTTGCCATTTTAATTATGATGTATCTTGGAGTGGGCTTCTTTGGATTCCTCTTGCTTGGGGCCCTCTGTGCTTCCTGGACTTATGTGACTTTTTCTCTCATCAAATTAGGGAAGTTTTCCATCATTACTTTTCAAACAGGTTTTCTATTCCTTGACCCTCTTCTTCTTTTTCTGGTATCTCTATTATACAGATATTATTACATTTCATGTTGTCCTGCAATTTCCTTAGCCCCCTTCCATTATTTTTAAGTCTTTTTCTTTTTCTTATCTTGATCATGCTGGGGGTTCTTCCTATGTTGTCCTCCATCTCACTGATTCAATTATCTGCTTCATCTAGCCTGCATTTGATTCCTCCTACTGTGTTCTTCATTTCAGAAATTCTATTCTTCATTTCTTCTTGGCTCTTGTTGATTGTTTTTATGTTCTTTTCCACACTGATATAGTTTGTAGTAAGTTCTTTGTAGTTTCCCTGTAATTTTTGGTAATTCTCACTAAGCTTATTGAGCTTTCTTATAACCATTCTTTTGAACTGAATATCTGGTAGTTTACTTGCCTCTATTTCATTTAGCACTCTTTCTGAGAATTCCTCCTTTCCTTTCAATGGGGAGCTATTTCATTTTAAAATAACATAGATGCTTGGGACTTCTGAACAAGATGGAGGGGTAGGTAGATAAGCTTCACTTCTTCACACAGCCAAAAGAAGGATAACAAAAAATTTAAAATAAAAAACAACCAGAACTGCCAGAAAATCAAACTGTATGGAAGTCTGACAACCAAGGAGTTAAAGAAGAAACATTCATCCAGACTGGTAGAAAGAGTGGAGACGGGAAGCTAGGGCAGCAAGGAAGTATGACAAGGTGGTTCATGGGGTACAAAGCAGTCCTATATTTGAGTGAAGATAAGTTGGGAGGAACAACTGGGGAGTTAGACCCGGCAACTCAGGGTTCCATCACAGGAAACTAAAGCCTCAAAACCTTTGGCTGTAAAAAACTGTGGTGGTTACAGCAAAAGGAGAAACTCCCAGTCTCACAGGAGAGTCTGTTGAAGGGGCCCATAGGATGGTAGAACATACTCAAGCCAATCCACCCAGGAATCAGCACCTGAAAGGGCACAATTAGCTGTGGGTACCAGGGCAAGTAACTGAAAGTGGGGTGAGAGTCCAACAAGCCACATTGTTCCCTCCTGGACCCCTCCTCCACATACAGCATCACAACACAGTGAGGTGGGTTGCCTCACCCTAGTGAATACCAAAGGCTCTGCCCCTTACAACATAACAGGTACACTGAGACAAAGTAATATGGCCCGAATGAAAGAACAGATCAAAACTCCAGAAAAAGAACTAAGCAACAAGAAGATAGCCAACCTATCAGATACAGAGTTCAAAGCACTGGTAATCAGGATGATCACAGAAATGATTGAGTACAGATGCAAACTAGAGGAAGAAGTGAAGGCCATGCAAAGTGAAATAAAGAAAAATATAAAAGGAACCAACAATGAAGGCAAGCAAATGGGGATTCGAATCAATAATTTGGAACAAAAGGAAGAAATACACATTCAACTGGAGCAGAATGAAGAAACAAGAATTCAAAAAATGAGGAGAAGTTTAGGAACATTTGTGACAACTTTGAACATTTCAACATCTGAATCATAGAACTGATAGGAGAAAAGGAAGAGCAAGAAATTGAAAACTTATTTGAACAAATAATGAAGAAGAACTTCCCAAATCTGGCAAAGGAACTAGGCATGCGAGTCTAGGAAGCTCAGAATCCCAAGCAATTAGATCCAAGGAGAAACACATCAAGACACATCATAATTATATTACCCAAGATTAAAGATAAGGAGAGAATCTGAAAAGCAGCAAGAGAAAAGGAGAGAGTTACCTACAAGGGAGTGCCCATAAGACTATCAGCTGATTTATAAAAAAAAAAAACGCACAAAAACCCCAAAAATCTTACAGCCAAGAAGGGGCTGGGAAGAAGTATTCAAAGTCAGGAATGGCAGGGACCTACAACCTAGATTACTCTATCTAGCAAAGCTATCATTTAGAGTGGAAGGGCAGATAAAGTGCTTCCCAGATAAGGTCAAATTAAAGGAGTTCATCATCACCAAGCCCTTATGATATGAAATGTTAAAGGGAATTATCTGAGAAAAAGAAGATCAAAACTATAAACTATAAAAGGACAACAAACTCACAACTATCAACAACTGAATCTAAAAAACAAAAACAAACTAAGCCATTAGAACCATTAGAACAGGAATAGAATCACAGAAATGGAGATCATAAGGAGGGTTATCAGCAGCGAGGGGGAAGGGGGAGAATGGTGGAAAAGGTACAGGGAATAAGAAGCATAATTGGTAAGCACAAAATAGACAGGAAGAAGCTAAAGATAGTATAGGGAATGGAGAAGCTAAAGGACTATGTACAACCTAAGGACATGAACTAAGGCAGGGAGGGATGCTGGCAGGATGGGTGTACAGGGCGGAGGGGGATTAAAGGGAGAAAAAAATGGGACAACTGTAATAGTATAATCAATAAAATATACTTAAAATAAAAATAAAATTATATAGATGCTTGAATATTTTATATTTCTGAGTTCTAAAAGATCAATACAACCTTCATAGAATAATAGAATGTACTTATATTTAAAGGGTTCAAACTCCTCCCAGATATGATATTAATGATCCAAACATCTGTGTTTAGTATAGGAGATAAGTGATACTGTTATTTTTATTTTGTAAATAGTTGACACATGTACAGAGTAAAATATTATAATTTAATTTGCAGATTTTAAATGAGAAAATCCATATAAAGTTTGAGCAGTATCTGAAACACTGATAATACTCAATGAGTGAGTTCTTTTACTCTACATAGAGAGCTTAGAAAAGACCTTAGGTAAAATGATATTTTCACACTAGAAATAAATGTTTTTAGCCTATGATACTTTATAATAGGTTGTTTATATATAGAAAAAATATGCAAATTTGTTATTTAGGTAAATTAAAGATGGGTTTTATTTAATACTTGAATTTAATTTCTGCAAGTATTATCACCATATTATAAGGTTTTTCCTTTACCAATCACATTTAAAATTTTATAATGAATCATAATATGTACTAAAATCTAAGAATTTAGAAAATTTGGTGCTGTAATATCTTCTTTTCTTTGCTCATTTTACTAGATTTAACTACGATGAGCTCATGAGAAAATCTTTGAACAGGCAGATTGTTTTATTGCTAATGGCTTGTAAACACTGGCCACATATCCAAAATTTTCTTCTTAAATCCTAATTTTTCATTAAATATAAAGTGTTTAGCATGCAAAAACTTACCCTGTATTACATGAGAAGGTGAGGAGTCCACCAAATAATATGTCAGTTTTTATATTGACATGACCATTTAGTATTTCTCCAGGATTAGGACATGATTTTTCTAGAAGACAATGCAAGTTGTTTTTTACAATGAATTGTCAGGCACATCTATGCAAATTCATCATTTGAATCACTGATAACCTCTCATCTGTAGACTGCTTAAATTCTAGTCATTTTATAAGTTTCAAAAATGCAACATATTTAGAATACATACTGATTTCATTTCATTTAAGGTGACTTTAATAAAATGTAAAATCTTTGAGTAAATTAATATTCCCATCTTGCAAGTATTTACTTTGCCTAATTTAAAATAAAATTATTCAGTGTTTCTTTAAAGAATCATTCTAAATAATACTATGTACATATAGTAATATGCATACATAGACTTTCAGCATAAAGGATGAAATACCACTTCCCAAAATACCATAGAATTAAGAATCTCTTTAAAACTATACTTACTTTTACAAAATTTCTCTGGTTTGGACCATGTATAATTCTGAAGGCAAGTTAGAGTGTTTGAGAGGGAATGGTCTCTTGAGTAGCCCCCACGGCAATCATATTCCACAACGGTACCCGGTGGGAAGTAATTTTGATTGTTATAAATGCTTTGAAGAGATGCAAAACGTAGCCTGGTTGGAACACTACAGCTACCTAAAAGTATTAACAAATGCAACAATAAGAAAAAGTGGTAACACTTTATTTTATAATTTATATTTAATTATTTGGAATTATCTGGTCCTTACATCCCTCCCTTTTCTGTGCTTCTTTGTACATATTTGGTATCTATCAACATGACATTTATAGTGTCTCAAGAATATATTCAAATATATGTTTTCATTTCTAATTACTAGAGTCCTGTGAAGTAGATTTAGTACATAGATATCACTGTGAATACAATTTGAAAAAATATAACCCATTTAAGTTGTCTGGCACAGTTCTGGTACTGACTCAGTATACGCCAGTTCCCTTAACCTGTCCTGTGTAGCACAGGGGTAGATGAGAACCGATAAACCCAGACCCCTGGGCTAATGTCTTGGACAACAACAATAGTAACAATAATAGCTAATATTTATGGAACACTTCTAAATGTTTTATATATGTATATATATATTCATTTAATTTCACAACAAGCCATTGGGACAAGGATTAGATGAGCCAATGTATACATAAAAGTATTTTAAAATTTTAAACATCTAGGCAAGTATGAATTTATAGAGGTATGGTATAGTGGGAGGGGCACTGAATTTATAGTAAAAAAACTCAAGTTTGAATCATGGCTTTTGTTGATCTCAAGGAAGTTATTTAACTCCCAAGGGCTTGTTTCCTCAACTGGAAAATGAGGATGAGTCCTTACTTAACTCATAGGGTTGTCTGGAGGATTAGGTGAAGTAATATATGTAGTCGAGTTACAAACTCTGTAACCTGATACATGTACAAAGGCTTATGGACATCAACCTATTATCTTCCATCACAGGTTAAAAAAACACTAAAGCCCATTTCATACCTGGTTTCAAGAAATACTTGTTGTTTATACCTACTTGTATACGTCAAAGCTAATACAGGGTTATACATAGAGTTTGAGGATATGTGTCTCAACATAATTACCAAACATGTTCACATGTAATTTATTCCCTAAAAAAACACAACAGCACCTAGTGTTTATTTTCCCTGTTAGTTTGGGAGGTACAGTGTGGGGGGGGCGGGTGTAGGGGAAGTGTTAATGCAGAAGCAGGACCTATTCCCAGAAGTAATGCCATCAATTAGCTGGAGTATAAAGTGCCAGCAGGTATGCCCTGGGGTTTATAATGCTAGAAAACAATCAATTACCAGTCACTCCAACAAGGGATAAAATTTAACTTAACAAGATACATTCCATTCCCATAACTTTTTAAAGAAGAAATGAAGAACTTACGATTACAAAATTCTTCGATTTCTGACCATACATCGCCCTTGAGACAGAACACTGTGTCTGCCTTGCCAGGAAGTTTAGTAAACCCTTGATCGCATGTGTATGTTACCAGGGATCCTTCAGGAAAACTTGTAAGACCGTTCAATGATGCCTGAGCATTAGGCATATCTGGGGGAGGCTTGCAGTCACCTAGAGAGGAAAAAAAAAATGGAACTGAAGGAAACACTTATAGCAACATTCCTTTCCCAAGGCAATAAGGGAAGCAGCAATGACTTTTGATGCACATTTCCATTTCCATTCAGTGCTGAACTGACAGACCAAGAATTTGCTAGGCTTCCTGTCTTGTTAATAAAGTGGTTTAGTCTTTATCTCCACGCAGATACTGTTGCTAGGCACGCAATAAAGACACGCCCCCTTGGAACGTTACACCTGGAGATTTCAAATTTGTAGCTTCAGGTGTTGTATGCGACTAGATTCTGTTTAGGGGCTAGAGCCTTCAGCTAATCTGGCTTCCCACCCTGAAAGAAATGCAGGGGGGATTGACAAATCACTCAATTCAAGCCCTGCCTTTCTGTTTCCCCATGTTTGGGGGCTCCACCAACTCACCAGCGCTTCCTCCATTCTCAATACTTCACTACTAAAGGCAGGCTAGCTGGGATCCAGCACAGCAAGACCCTTAATTGCTGGTTAGCAGCCGATATCCTTTTACTGTCCCACAGGATAGAGCCAGTAAGATCTCTGAGCCTCAAACGCAGAAGTTTATGGGAACAATTACAGATACCCCCATCCCTCACCTCACCAGGTCCCCAGACTTCTGGTTGTCACAGAGAAAGACCCAGCCCGTCCCACACAACCTAGGGGTTCACCCAGCGGGGCCAGGTCCCCGGCCCACTCACCCCGAGAAGCGCGGGGACACAGCAGCAGCAGCAGCAGCAGCAGCGGCAGCAGCGGAGTCAGCCAATTGAGGCGGCCCAGCACTTCGGGGGCGCACCGCCGGGCGGGACTCATGGCGCAGGACAGGGACCCGGCGCTGGCTCTCCGCGGCCTCGTAAGATTAAGCGGTCTAGGGCAAAAAGCTGTAAGTAGCAGCCGAGTAAACTGTTCAGCAATCAATTTAAATTAGCGACATGGGTGGTTCCAGGGTTCTGGATCACCAAAGGGTGGAGCGAAGGGAGTTTGCCTGCAACAGATGCTGGGCGGGGCAAAGGCTGAGGCTCTAGCGTCACCGGCTTCACTTGATCCTTGACTAGGGAGGAAGGGTCCTGGGTAGGGAGGGAGACAAGCTCTTCGGCGCCAGATGCTGGGTCTTTTTGTTTCTTTGTAGGAGTGGGGCCTGAGACGAGCTGCCACCTGGAAATCTGAATATCTGCTTTCTAAATAAAACAAAAAATTGGGGGGAACAGAGGAGAGAGGAGTGTTTCAAGTAGCCAGGCTTGGCTCCCCAGGAATCTGAATTACTTTAAGAGGACCTTAAGCGCCCTTGGTACTGCAAAGCTAAGCGGCAGGTGCGATGGATTCCGCTGCTTGGGGATGAGAAATGGTGCCCACCCAGGGACGTGGTGCCTTCAACTAGGAAGCCTGCCAAATGCCAACAAGTGGATGTGTAAGACTCTGTGCCAAACGACCCTTGAAGAAAGAAGGTGGGGCAACACAGCAGGGAGTGGCTGTTAGTTCATACCGGGTTTGGGTGGAATCACTTTCTTTGCCAGGGTTCTCCATACCTACCAAGGGCCCCTCATGAATTCCACTTTGGGATTATTCTAGTCTGACTGCAGAGTGAAATTCACAGTGTGTCGAGTGGAAAGAAATATGAAAAACAAAAACCAGGTGCCAGAAAGCTAAATGATAGGGTGTTCGATTTAAATCGGGGAAGGTTTGGAGGAAGGTTTGCTAGGACTTTATAAGTTTATGCCCGTGGTTTTGGTGGGTAGCCACACATTAGAATCACATGAGAAGCTTTGTAAAAATCCAAATGCTTCTGATACCTCAGACAAGTTAAACTAGACTTTCTGGAAATAGGACAGGGGCATCAGGTTTATTTTAAGTGCTCCGGGTAAGTAATTCTACTGTGCAGCCAGGTGGAGAGCAACAGATTTACATGGTACTGGCCATAGTAAAGGTCCACACAGCTCAGAGCTCAGCCTGTCAACAACACTAAAGGATGTGAGTGGGAAGGCTAGACACTTCTCCTCATGGAGAGTAATGGCAAGAAATTGTTTCTCTTTAGTGATTTACCTACGCCTAGCTAGCAGAGTCCTAGCTTGGCTTTCTTATCTATACCTTGAACAGCTTACCTGGTTAAGTGAAATCCCTGTCCTGAAATTTTGCCTTAGTCTATGGACTTTGGGGTAACTATTGCATCTTGTTGCGATATTCTTTCTGAAATGCTTTTTGACCACTTTTTATAGGTTGATATGAGCTTTATAAAGAGGAAAACATCCGTTTTCAATAACTGTTTTCTCTGACTCATGTTTACTATACCAAACAGAACTATGTGTCACCCCATGCTAGAACTGATCCTATAGGGATTCCAAGGAAGGAATTCTGATGATCCTTCTTAATAACCTATCAGTATTAAAATATTGCAGAGTATAGAACCTGGGCTTTTAAAATCATCTAGTGTGGCTGTCATATTTTATAGTAAACCATCTTACTTTTACTCTCACATTTGATACAAAAATACAAAGCTTTTCAGGGCCCATCAGTGTTTTAGAAGTGATACCCGGTCTTGGTTTATTCCCCTTAAGAGCTTCTCCTGTCCTTACCTACCACACCCTTCTGCCACACACTTACGGGCAGGTAGTCTTTGTTTCTGCTTGAGCTCAAAGAACTGGTGTGAAAGGAAAGGTAGTATCATCAAAAAGAATTGAAGGTCAAAATCAGTTATGGAGCTGTCAGAAGACAACTTTGATGTCTGTTAGAGGTGTTTATTAAGTGAACATAATAGTTTTTTTCAATCCAGAAAAAAAACAACGACCTCTGCAAAGTGTCAAAAAAAAATTATCTCTGTCACCCAGCTTAGCTACACTGAGTGCTCTAAGCATTTGCCTTCCAAAGTACATGGTTCTTGATAGTATTTTTTAAAGTAACTATTATGAAAAATAACTGGGTGGACTCTTTAGTAACACTTATGGCCACTCCCAAATTTTCAGCACTCTGAGAACAAAGGAAAAAAGAAAAATCTATTGTTCATTTACTCAATGGTGTCAGATGTATGCAAGATTTATCCAGATGATCACTTAATAAGTTGTATAATGTCTAATCACTGGGGTGTGTACCTGAAACTAATATAATGTTGTATATCAATTGATTAAAAAAATAAAAGTTTTATGTATTAGCAAAAAGTGTATGCATTAAGGAATATTAAATATGCAAATGCATAACTTACTAAAGATTACTTTAAATAATGACCTCAATAGTTGTGTTTCAATCACTTCATATACATTTATATCATTTCATCAACACAACTTCATGAACTGGATATAATTGTCTACATTTTATAGCTGAAAAAAGAAAGCTGAGAAGTTAAATAATTAATCAAAATCTGTGTAGCTAATTAAGTGAGCAGGCCAGAATCTAAATCTGATCTGTTTGATTCCAAACTGATATTTACCCCTTTTACTCTACCACATTGCATTCTTTTTATTGCAGTCAGTCAGCAGAGATATTTTCTATGTAGAGGACACATAATTAGGTAATTTGGTTGATTTGGAAACCAAGCTCCTTCTGGTGTCAACAGTACACTTGGGTCTTTGTACTTGATCTGCCAAAAACTAGCTATGCATCTCAGCCCATCACTGTATCCCTCAAGGCCTCATTTCCACATTAGTTAAGAAAGGGCTGAGGACTAAAATAATCTCTATAGAGCTTTCCAATTCCAAAATGTTAAGTTTAGTAAAAAAAATTAATTTAAATAATAGAAAATGGGTCTATGATTTTGGCAGAAATTAGTGAACACAGATTTTTACCCCTGTCCCAGGAATCATACAATGACTACATCAAAGACTTTTAATAAACTGGGAATCATCTAGTACCCAGAAGCACATTAAAAAAGGGTCAATACTTGTGTTCAAGAATCTCTAATTGTGATATATAAAAAATTGTGACTTATAAGAAATGTATATTGGGTCCTTCAGATAACATAAATATGTTTCTCATAAATATTTGATCTTTGTCCAGAATTCCAGACTCACAACTCTCAGAAACTCTTGGAGTTTTCGAATGTTGAAATTGAAAAAGTTGTCTTTTGCTATGTTAAATGAGGTGACCTTTGGATCCTGATGTGGACCCCAAATCATGGGGTCCACCACATTGTAGATGAGACACGAGAAATTCACATGGACTATCAAGCCCTGTGGAGGAAAAGGACAGTGTGGCTTCTCTCTCAGAAGGAGAAAAAACCTCAGCTTTAGCCTTGACAAGCTTTATTGCTTTTCTTGACACATTACATGATGGTCCTCATTTATTATCATGAGTTTGCTTTAGGTGGTTACCTTTTACAGAAAACAAAGGAAACAGTGCTGCTAATCACATCACAGAAGAAGGATATTTGTAAATGCAAAGGGAAAAGTGGTTGAACCAGTTATACCCCATACTGGGGAGGTTTAGCACAGATTTAGGAAGTTACAGTAAGCACTTGCTGCCTCAATTCAGGGTGAAGGAATTTTAGCAAAAGCAAGTCTCAAAGTGGTCTAGGCACATTGCAGGCCTGATTCCTCACAGGAGAGCCTATCCATGGGCATGGGTTCTGTGCATCTCCAAGTGGGAGCTGGGCCCACCCCATGCAGAACGTTCTCCTATAGGACTTCACCAGAAATGGAGGCTGGTTGTCACTGGAACCAACAATTTGATTCAAAGGTGTGAACTTTAAGTCCTACCCCAGCCTTCTGGGAAGAAAGAGAGGCTGGGGTTAAATTAATAACCAATAGCCAATGATTTAATCAGTTGTGACTGTAATGAAGCCTATATAAAAACTCAAGAAGCTAGGGTTCAAGAAGTTTTAGGGTCTAGAATATGTGAAGGTATAGGGAAAGTGGTACACGTGGATAGGGCATGAGAGCTCTTTGCCCCTTGCCCCATACCTTACCCTATGCATCTCTTCCATCTGGCTGTTCCTGAGTTATATCTTTTTATAATCAACCAGTGATTGAAAAAGTAACATATTTCTCTGAGTTCTGTGACCTGTTGCAGCAAATTAATTGAATCCACAGAGTGGGTTTTAGGATCTTTGATTTATAGCCAGTTGGTCAGAAGCATAGGTAACAACCTGGACTTGCAATTGGCCTATTGATACAGGGTGCAGCCAACAAGGGGTGGGCAAATAGGGATTTGGAATGGGGTCCAGAATTCAGGGTGTCCAGGAAATATTAGAAAGATATAAAGGATGTCCTTCCCTTTCCCCGACCACAGGTGTGAGTTGGGGGAAGGGACACGTGGAGCAAGAACATGCAGGGCTGTTGTGTACAGCAACAGCTTTGCAACTAACCTATGGCATGGTCATTTAACATATCTATAACCTTTAACTGGTTGCATAGATATGTTAAATAGCTATGGCCATGCTCTGAGCTAGGGGGATGGAAGTGACTTCCACCCAAGATGTAACTGAGGAACAGGTGGGTCCCTCGGGTTACAACACCTGTGTGAGAGCTTGGAGAAGATTGGCTCCATGACATGGGACCACACCTCCCCAGACTCATGATGGCAGCCCAGTAAACTTGGAATAATACAGGAATTCCTACACGTATAACTGATTGTAGGAGGAGTTGGAAATGGGGGTACAGAAAAAGATTAGCATGGGGACTTAAACCCAGACACAGCAGCCATTGGGTAGGGAACCACTTGGCTTTGCCAGAGTGGGGACCCCCACAGCTTTGGTAGAATAGGATCACGAGTCTTTGGGGCACTCCCTTTGGCTACATGGCCTGGGAAGCAGGAGAGACTTTGCCTGGAAAATGGGTACAGAGACTTGTTGATGGGCCATGAGAAGGTGCCATATGGCTTTGGATTAGCTGGAGGTCCTGAACAGTGACACAGCTGATGGTGCTGACAGCCTGAATCACAGACGTCTACTTCTTTTCCTGAGCTACAGTACCCCAGTTTAGGGCAGAGGAAGAAGGAAGCACTGTGTGTATCTGTGGGTATCCTTAAGGACTTTGATATTTTAATGAAGACATTACGTCA